CATACAGCACCCACAGACATACACAGTAACCAACACATACAGCACCCACACACACATACAGCACCCTCACAAACACACACAGCACCCTTACACACAGCACACAAACAGCACCCTCACACACACACAGCACACTAACAGTACCCTCACAAACACAAACAGGACCCCAACAAACACACACAGCACACTACCAGTACCCTCACACACAAACAGCACCCTCACACAGAGTACATTAACAGCACCCGCACAAGCGCACACACACACACAAACAGCACCCTCACACACAGTACATTAACAGCATCCTCACAAGCACGCACACACAAACACCCTCACCCACATAGCACACTACCAGCACCGTCACACACACATCACACTAACAGCACCCTCACACAGCACACACACACACACAGCAGTGTGTGTATGTGTGTATATATGTGTATATATATATATACATACATACATATATATATATGCGGCGTGTGCTTGTGCTTTAGGGTGCACACCCTAATGCAATAGGCTGCGCACGCCTATGCTTGTACGTGTTCCTGTTTTCTCAGTGTTTATCACAGTGTTCTGCACAATCTCATAGTATCACAAAACTTTTGAAAATCACTTCATTAAAAAAAATAAAAAAATAAACCCAGCACCCAGTCCAGTGTTTCCTCATTAAAGCCTTGAATCGTCTCTAAAAGCCAGAAGGACAAGCAATAGGCATCATCTTCAGTTATTTGAAGTTAAACTGTTTGTAATTTGTTAACCTTTTAAGGTAACACCTTGCCCAGGACCTCCTGGCACCCTAACCACTTCATTTAGATTAAGTTGTTATAGTGCCTAGAGTGTTCCTTAAATGATATGGGATTATGAGGTTATACAGCATGTATAGATCACGTGGACGGTGATGATGTTAATTAATGATTGCATAGTTCAAATATGGGGTCTGATTACAGTAGCTTGTTTCTCCACGTGGCAGAACGTGACCCCCCAATGCTGACCTGGGGTCTTAGACTATAAATAGAAGGCAGCAGTGGGCAGGTTAATGGAAGATCAGACATTAGTAGAATGACGATTCCTCTCTGTTTATAGAAGCACACTCGGGATACAGTATGATCACCCTATCGTTCCATGGTTACTAGGCAACAGGGACTTTATTAGTGACATCCAACATAATCTTACTCATTGATGAAGGGTTTTCCCAGCTCGCTCCTATTTTCCGTTATGTGCTAGTCATTCCCTTCTGTAGGTATGGGAATCATAAGCTATTAATGCTCATATATACTGGAAACACAGGCATACAGAGCCTGTTTTGTAAAGCATGTATTCATCCTTCCTTATTTTAACTCCCAGCATCCCCCACCAAAATCTCTGTAACTATACCGCTATCTACTTCTCCTTGCTAATCATAAAAAATTTCTCATCTTAACCACAGAGTCTAAACCAGGCTTTCTCAAACTCCGGCCCTCCAGATGTTGCTGAACTACAACTCCTATGATTCTCAGCCTATCTGTTTCATTCATAGAATCATGGGAGTTGTAGTTCAGCAACATCTGGAGGGCCGGAGTTTGGGGAAGCCTGGTCTAAACCGTCTCGTTTGTCCTCTGCTCCCATTAAAACCTTCCACCTTACTTAGAGGACTTATTTAAAGCTGTCCATTCTTATGGGAAGTCCCATCAACTATAACCTAACCACCTATCCTTTAAGACATTCCTATATATCATGTAATCAATTCCTGATCCTGAATGCATATTTATTTGTCAAGTTTACCTGTAAGTATCATTTAACTGTTACACAGCACTGCAGAATATGTTGGCTCTATCTAAATCATAATAAAAGCAATAAATAATACCTTAAAAAAAAAATGGCAGTGGAAATTTTCACAGATATATTTAAAAGGACACTATAGTCACCAAAACAACTTTAATGAGCAGTTATGGTGTACAGATCACGCCCCTGCAGCCTCGCTGCTCAGTACCCTGCCATTTAGGAGTTAAATCACTCTGTTTATGCTTGTTAGACTCTGCAGTGGCATGGCCTATTCACAAAAACTGCTTCATTTAGCTAAAGTTGTTTTGGTGACTATAGCGTCCCTTTAATCTTATTTGAGAAGGTAAGTGAGAAACAAAATGTGGGCCAAGTTTCCTTTGTAGAATTTCGGAGACCCTGTAGACATGCCCCATAAAGAGATTATTTAAAAAAAAAAAAAAAAAAAGTTTGGGTTCAGACCCTTATTTCACTATTTTTATATCCTGTTTAGATTTAGATTAGCTTACAGTCTATAGGATCGCAAAGATTCTGTAAATAGCTCTTTAACTGTTGCATGAGTAGCAATTTAATTTCGCAATCCTTGTGTATTAATTAAACGATAATCTCAGACACAGTGACGTCTAGAAATGAATACGTGCATTCATCTGAAAAAATGACGGTCGTAGGCTTGAGCACATCACTCATTTAATTAAAATGAAAAGAGAGGTAATTAGAGGGAGAAAAAGAATGATTTCATTTGCTTGAAAATATTGAATCGCATGTTGACATTTAACAGTATGAGCGCCCATTTTGGCACTAGTTATTGCCAACAGCCTGAAGGTATCCTGAATATAGAATACACCTGTTTGGTGTTGATGGGGATTATCGAGTAGGTGCGCAGTTCTGAGGCTGCTTGCATGAAAGATGAATTAGGACAGGCCCTCCTTTGTTAACACCATCAATACTGCGTTGTATGGACAATAAACATCCTGTTTCACAGGGGCCTTAATATGAAATTACTTGGAGTATGTTATGAATAAGTCTTCATCGTCCTGTGACACTTGGAAGTCTGGTTCTTGTGCTTCTCTCATGTATCTTACAATTTTGTGTTTTTGCTGTGTGTGAGTGTGTCTGTCAATGAGTGTGTGTGTGACGCCTTTTAAAGTTCCTTATAATATTTGATAAATAATCTCTTTATTTTAGTTCTTAATAATGGAAAGAAAATTAAAAGACTTCAAGGGCATTAAATGTAATACATGTTTAAAAGTAAAATTAACTCTTTAAGCACCAGGGTTGTACAAAACACAAAGCAATTCGTTAATCACACCTCAGAAAACTCAGGGGTTAGTCCCTCTTGAACATTAGAACAGACATTTTGAGATTAAAAAAAACAAACCTCTATCGCCATTCTGCACATTTCCGTTCTAAACAGTACAATTGTAACTTTTCAGTTTGCCAAGAGAGTGTTTCTTTAAATCCCTTTTCCCCTATAACATTCCAGTTGGCCTCTGCTGAAAGGCTATTCCATGCATCTACAGTTTAATCTGTAAAAATGCCTAAAATCCAACTGTTTAATGAAGATTGAATTTACAACTCTTACTACGCTCGGCTCAGAAACCTGGTGGCACTGGCAATCCAATGTCCCTAATCTCAAAATGTAACTCATAATTCCTTACTGTATCCCTCAATCTGCCAACATAGCATTCCCAAACCCAGAATCTTATCCGCTGATTGTTCATGATGATAAAACCTACATTACAACTACTATTACACTCAGCCAGGCAATATTAGAGGCAATATATGGCGTTATTCTCTGAAACACAAGCATGTCACTTACTGCCTAACCTTAACCTCTGACCATAATGCCTGGCCTCTAGCTAATGACACCACCAATCCTTCTACTCTGAAAGGGATGTTCAGTGGGAATTGACGGGACTGTTAGGCCAAATTAGCTGAATTGAAAACATAATGGACTTGAAAAATATTTCCATTCCTCCATTTTGGCCAAGAACTTGAAATTCACACAGATCACACTTAAGTGAATAACTAAGAATAAGCCAAAATGTAAGAACCAAAAAGTATTTCACAATATGATAAGGTATCGTGCTCACTGTCTTCAATAATTTTTATTTGATACTCTTTAGAAAATCAGGAGCGATATCCCCAAATGATGTGTCTCGTATTAAATAAACACTTTTTATTTTTAAGGTAGTGGAAGGGTTAACTGATTTGCACAGCCACAGGGCGGTGGGTTTAATGTTCAGCATTTCAGCAGCAGAAATAGTGTCTGGATAGAGCGACTTGTTATGTTGCTGCTTGATCATGAGAATTGTAATTGATGGATATTTGCAGTTGCTTAGCAACAGTCAAATATATATCCAGGTCAGACAATACTTTACTAACAGCCTGTTCTTATTTCTCATAAAGGAACTTTTTAAGTTTACAAAACGCCACTTCATTTGGTAAACCACGTCAGTTACCGAGGCATTTCCAGCACGAGTGCCAAGTCCTTCACTTGTAGAAAAATAAGTAGAGAATTCGGATGAAATATTGTGCAAGATTTACTTAACTATATCATTCAGTTCACGCAACTAAACACACCAAACAGGACTGGATTCAATGTATGGGAGGTGGCCCAGGACCACAGCTCAGAAATGGCCTGGTTTAGAAGGGTCAGTGCCTAGTTTGAGTCCAAATCTCTTTTCTAGTACCTCCCTGGAAACATAAGGTAAGGAGGACATGACTGCTGGCAGGGATAAGGGGATGGTACCTTAGGGGATACAATGTGACACCCTGGCATTAAGAAGGGGAGACAGGGGAGGGTACTCTGTGTAAAAAAAAAAAAGATGATTAATTTTTTAGCTTATATTACTTACACATCTATTTTACCTTCTGGTATGGCTCATCTGGTATTAGGAGAATGTCTTCAGCCGTGTCCAAGGATGATGTGGTAGCCTTATTGCAGGCGTTGCACTGCTGCAGCTTCAGAGACTTCGGTGATTTTGCCGGATGGTGGTAGGAGGGCCAGGTGTTCCAAGCCCCCTACGCGCATGTCACCCAGTCCGGTGTCCAGACGGCGAGGTCGACAGCGGGGTGAGTGGATCGGCACCACCAGGATTTCCCCGGCGAGAGGAGGAGGAAGCCGGAGGTAGGTGGATGGAGGCATCGTTGGTGGACAAGATGGCGGCGTGGCGGGAAAATCGAGGAGCCCACCGTCTCTTCCGGTCCAAACGGCGGGAAGAGAGAGGACGCCGGAAGTGATGGTAAGCGTCGGCGCCCTTGAGCACATCGAACGTCAGGGCGCCGGACGTCATCAACGGTCGCACCCGGAAGTGACGCGCACCGTCGGCGCCCTGTCCGGGACACGGAGTTCCCAGGGCGCCGGACGCAGAGCATGGTCGCCAGGGAGGAGAGGAGACAACCGGACGCACAACTGGAACTCCCAGGACTCCGGGAGCAACTCCCATCACCCAGAGGCAGCCGGTTTCGGTAATGTCAGCCTGGAGCTCAGGTCCTGCTGCAGATGTCCACAGGAGGTCTTGGTCGGATTCTGCTTCAGAAGAAGAGGAGGTTTCGGTGCCAACAGTTCCCCAGCGGTCCGGTGAGTTTTTACATTGCACTGGTCAGGGGACTGGTGCCCAAGAACAGCCCAGGGAGTCATTGCGCCTGCTTAGGACCCTAGTTGACAGTTTCCCATCACAGCTTACTGGGCAAAGGGTAGCTGCAGGGCAGGATAATAGACTTCCAGTGCAGGCGGAGGTACAGGGACGTGCACAGGACCAAGGGGTCAGCCTGCTGCAGGGGCTTTTCGCACGGGTTCGGTGGGATGTGATCTTGCACCGTTAGGTTTACATGTCCCTATGGACATGCAAGAGAAATATAGAAAGGTGAGTACGTGGATCTGCTGTCCTTGGTCTCTCCTGACAAGGATTCCGTGGACAGACCGCGCCGGGGTGAAGTTCCTGAGGCAGACAAAGGTAAGCAGATACCCAGAACCTTTGGCAATATCTTTTCAAGCATCCTAGTGCGCCGTTTCCCGGATAAGGCTCCTTCTCTGTTTGGGTACTTAGACCTAATTTGGGGGTCCTATAAAATCTACGGGGGGCAATGCTGGTATCGCTATGACCATCAATTCCGCCAAAAGATGGCGGTGTGCCCGGGTATGGATTTTGGGGTTCAGGATGGTAGTCTCTGGCTGTTACTAATGACCCCCAATAGACCATCTCCCTTTCCTGGGTCTGCTGGAGGTAACTCCGGCTCCTCCGCAGGGCAGAAAAAAGGTGTCATCTGGCTCTTTAACGAGAGCCAGTGCCGGTGGTACAGTTCGTGCAGGTTTCGCCATGAATTTGCTCACTGCTGGGGAGCACACCCAGCTATGCGCTGCTTCCGGAAAGGGAAACCGGTCGCCGGGAAGGGTCCTTCTCGAGACGACATTCCTAGGGGAGAGGGCGCCAGTGGACGTCCTAAGGATGCGCCCCTGGCTCGCCCGGTATCATAGAGTTCACGATGCGCAGATCTTATTCGACGAATTTCAGGTGGGTTTTTGGATTCCGTTTGTTCCTTCTTCATTGCCCCAGTTTGCGGACAATCTCCACTCAGTTAAGGGCAAGGAAGATATTCTGCAGGAAAAGTTAGACGCAGAGGTCCAAGAGGGTCGCATGGCAGGCCCCTTTTTCCTTTTCCCCCTTTTCTAATTTACGCATTTCTCCCCTGGGGCTGGTTCCTAAGAAGGAACCTGGTTCTTTTCGTTTGATACACCTGTTATCTGTCGGGAGTTTCCGTTAACGATGACATCGGGAAAGATGTTTGTCGAGTGCGCTATGCATCATTCGACAGGGTGTTAGAGTTGGTGCGCCGTGCAGGGCCCGGCGCGTTGTTGGCAAAATCTCACATAGCATCGGCTTTTCGTCAGTTGCCGGTTCACCCCTCCTGCTTTCACTTGCTAGGTTGTTCTTTTCATGGGGTTGTATACTATGACATGTGTTTGCCCACGGGCTGTTCAATTTCTTGTTTCAATTTTGAGATGTTTTCGTGTTTCTTGGAATGGGTTACAGTACGGGAGGCGGATTTATCATTGGTTACCCATTACCTGGACTATTTTTTATTTGTCGGCCCGTTGGATTCCGGGGAATGAGAGCATTTGTTACATTCGTTTTGGACAATCATGGGGCATTTCGGGGTCCCCGTCACGGAGGCCAAAACGGTGGGCCCAGTTCAAGTGTTATCGTTTTTAGGGATAGAAATAGACTCCGTCAAGATGGTTTTCCGTCTTCCGGCTGACAAATTATCGGTCCAGTTGTGCGTGGTCGACTTGATTCGCGGGGCCAGGAATGTACAGTTACAGCAAGTGCAGGTGCTTCTGGGGCACTTGGCCTTTGCGTGTCGTGTGCTTCCCATGGGTCGGGCATTTTGTAGGCGCCGTTCTCTTTCCACTGTGGGGGTTCGGGAGCCCTTTCATTTTATTCGGGTCACTCGTCGTTTGCGCACGAACCTTCAAGTGTGGAGCTCCTTTCTGGAGCGCTACAATGGTTGCTCCTGCTGGTTGCAGGAGGCTACGTCTAACTCCGAGTTGAACCTCTTCACAGATGCGTCCGGTGCCGTCGGTTTTGGAGCATACTTCCAGGGCCAATGGTGCGCCTGGCTGGGCGTGGACGTGATGCAGAATTTAACGTTTTTGGAGTTGTTTCCCATTGTGGTCTCCTTAGAGCTCTGGGGGGAGGATCTTCGCAACAGGGTGGTGGTTTTTCACACTAACAACATGAGCGTTGTCCATGTGATAAATCTCTCGTCCTCCAGTTCCCCTCCAGTTCTCGCACTTCTGCGTCAGCTGGTCCTCCTTTCTTTAAGATTTAATATTTGGATAAAAGCAAGTCATGTCCCGGGTGTGCAGAATGTGGTAGCTGACTCTCTTTATAGGTTTTAGTGGGACCGCTTTCGGGAGTCGGCGCCGGCGGCGGAAGCAGTGGGTCTCAGCTGTCCGGACTCCTTATGGGAGATCGATTTGGAGGATTGAGACGCTTGGTGGCGGACTCCTTATCAGACGCTTCTTGGAGATCGTATCAAGCGGTCTGGCGCCAATGGCTGGACATGTTCTCGCAGAGTCGGATGCTGGAGGCGACCCTGAAAATGCTAGAGGCGATGCTCGAACAGGGTGAGTCTTGCTCCTAGGCTGAAAAGTCCTTGACCGCTCTGTCTTTTCTATGTAGGTTTATGGGTTGGCGAGACGTTTCTTGGGAGTTTGGTATCCAGCGAGTGATCCGGGGTTGGAGGCTTAGGAGGGCCCCGGACCACCGCCGCCCGGTTTCAGCCGACTTGCTAGGGCGGATTCAGTCAGCGTTGGGTGCGGTTTGCTTCTCGGGATACGAGGTATTGCTTTTCCGGGTTGCATTTTCATTTTGTTTCTTTGGGGCCTTTTGCGTGGGCAAATTGGTCTCCCGCAACTGAACGTCTGTCGGTCCGCTTCTGTTGGCGGTCATCCGGACTTCGTGGACGTTTTCATCAGGCGGTCTAAGACCGACCAGGTAGGTAGGGGTTCGTGGGTTCGTATCGGTGCGACTGGTGGGGGGTTTTGCCCGGTTAGGCTTTTCTTGGCATATTTACGGAGGAGGCCGTTGGCGGATCTTCCCTTGCTGGTTCATAGCGAAGGGACTCCCCTGACGCGCTATCAGTTTACGGCAATGTTTCGGGCCGCGTTGGCGGAGTGTGAGTTGGATTCGCGGCAGTACTCAGCTCACTCATTTCGCATAGGGGCGGCCACTCAGGCTTGTTTGTGGAGGTTCTCTGCTGCAGCAATTCAGCGGTTGGGTAGATGGGGCTCTCATCGCTACAGGTCCTATGTCAGGTATCATTTGTTATAATGTTTGTTTCTTCCTAGGTCCTCTGCCTTGCTGTGTTTGGATATTGGGTCATTCCTTCGTATACTGGGCAGCACGGCGAGCGGAGGAGCGTTCCTATGGCAGAAATTTGGGGTTCCCCTATGAGGTAGCCAGGGTAAGATGGAGGAGTATTAGGGGTATGTTGTGGCAACAAGTGTACTCTGAGTGTGTGTCACTTCGGAGGTATGTGTCGGGGCAGTGACCTTAGTTATCCACGTGGGGGGTAATGACCTAGGGCGCAGCAGGTCAGTAGATCTCCTACACGCGTTGTATGGCTCTCTTTCCAGCTCTGACCCTGATCTGGTCAGAAATCATGTCCAGGCCTTGCTGGCATGAGCTGCCTCATGCGAGGGGTGTCGAGCGCAGTAGGCGCAAGCTTAATGTGGCCATTGGGAAATTTGTTTGCCGCCTCGGGGGGTTTGTCGTGAGGCACACGGAATTGGAGGGAGACAACTCCAACCTTATAGGGGTTCACCTCTCTCTTATAGGTTTAGATATCAGGCGGGTATCGAGGAGGCGCTGGCTGCGGGGGGCGCTGTGTCTCCCAAGGGGACAGTTAGAGAGGCTCCACGATGGCAGTAGTCCTGGCCAGCGAAGAGAATTGGAAGGAAGTGCCCAAGCGGCTTGGGGAGTCACAGCCTGCTGAGAGCTGATGGCGGGGGTAGGCTGCTCTGGACTCGTGGCTTCATTTGATAGAGCTGTCTGTTGGTAATCCCCCAACAGCTGACAGGTTGTGGATGCTGGCAATAATCATTAATAAAGCTGTGGCCGTTGCCCTTACCCATACAAAGGTTGTTGTGTATGTATTGGGCAACGGGTGGTTGGGGTTTGGTCGGGGTCAGCAGTCATGAAGGTGTTAATTTTTGGTGTGTTTGAGTATATAACCAGTCGTGTCAAGGGACCTGCTAATATAGTGTGAAACATGACATGGACACAGTCCAACTGATCACCCAGCCTGGCAGCTCTGTCACACAATGTCGGGATGACTGGCGCAATGTGCCACATGAGCACACGATTTATTCCTATTTACTCTGAAACTGGAGATAATTGAAGGGCATTTTAGCTCTTATTTCAGTGCTTCAATGATGCTTAAAAGGAACACCCCCAGCACCAAACATCCTCATCACAGTGAAGTTGTTATGGTACCAGGAGGTTCATAACCCATGTGTTAATCCATTCATTAATGGTTTAACCCCAAAGTTGGCTCTTAAGTGCTGTTCCTCACTGTCCCCATCTACATCTGGTGTCTGAAATTGAGCTAGAGGAAGCAAGGACTGCCACTGGGCAGGGGCGACGCTGAATGACTTAAAGTGGTCAGCTAACGCTTTAAGACAATCTCTAGCTCCCTACTTGCAAAAAGGGTACATACCTTTTTTATGAATGTTGAACTACTGATTGGCTTAGAGTATCCTTTAAAAGAACATGTATTCCTAACACTG